GGGGTACGAGCAGACCACAATAACAACAAAACATTGCCCTGGCAACCTATCATACAGAATATACACAGCCATGTTGGTTTCGTGTTTTGAATATGACACACACAGACAGTGGTGCTCGTGTTTAATAGTGAGGGAAGTATCTGCAGCTGGTATTTCATAGATCTAAAGCAGCTTTGCTGTCTTTCCTCATTATGGAAGCAGGTTTATTTTGGGAACGAAAAGCTTGTCTTAGTTCAGTGAATGAAAGCTAACAAGACTGCAGCTTCTAGCCAGAGTGAGTTTGACGGTAAAGAGAGTGTGTGAATAGCGTTTGAATTAAAAAGGGTGTATCTGAAGAGTATTTCAGTGAATACATACACAGGGTAGGGTGGAGCACCTCGATGCCTTCTTAAGCCTTCTTAAGTGGTGTTAATGTTGCACCTTTACATTGATCTGAGACCAGTTTAACCATGTCTTTTTAAATTAGGGGTCTCAAACTATCGGCCCACGATAATGAATACTTAAGTCAAGTGCACAAATCATTGAATTTTTTTTTCTTTCTGCTGTAAAAATGACATGTGATGGGTAGATAGTGCGGCTGGGTACCTAACAAAAGCTATATAAATTAGGGGTGGGAAATATGAGAATATTGTGGATACCATCAGTACTTAAAGACCACTGAAGTGCATGTTTTATTACAAACAGACCATAATTAGTCATGTTTAATTGAATTCAGTCATGCGCAGTATGTGAAACGTAAAAGACAAATCAATATATTCATAGATTTAGATTAGTTTTTAAATTTGGGCCTTTGTTACGACCCTCGGTTTAGTCTGGGGGATTGGGGTCGCAAACATGAGGCAGGTGTGGAAGATGTGGTGGAAGAAGAGAATTTAAACACAAGAACTTTAAGCTGGAAATCCATCACATATATTCTATAACATACACAAGGTGGATAGTTCAACGTTAACAAGCATACAGAGTTCCAATGTCAACCTTTTCTAGAAACCAGAAAAACCAGGTTGGTGCTTTCCTATAATCTACCTGACCATACCCTAAACAAATAAGATATCTACTCTAACTAAAAACTAAACAAAACATAAATACATATGCGGCACCACCCTCTTACCTAGCGTGTCTGACAAAGGGCTTCTTAAACGTCGTTAGAGTACAGGCGTCCAAACTAACCTCCGCAGGTACTTAAAGCTGAAGCTCCTCCCCTTCCACTGATGTCGTTCCTTATGATTAGTCACCTAAGTAGAACGTAATCCACCAATGTATCCTAGGGCAGACGGCAACAAAGAGAAACAACCGAACAGCACACAAAACACATATGTGCTATGGCACATAACAGCCCTGTAGTCCGTTTTTGTCTGTTCCAACTTATCAAACCTCAGAAAAGCTAAATTACATGATGCATGTGTGTATCGTAAAAGTGGCTTTGTGTATCGTATTTAAGCCATACCGCCCACACCTAATATATGTCACTGTAAGTAATATATTAAACACAATAACAGAGCACTGCAGGCAAGAGAAACAATTCAAATGAAAACCTGACGCAGTATGAATGCTGCGCATTGAATTTAGCTTTAGGTATTATTCAGAAGGATAATTAAAGGAGAATTCCACAGATTCTTGACAATTTCTGCATAATTAACCGGGTAAGATGTAAACAAAGTCATTCAGAGTGGTTTGGTGTGGCATTTTACGTTGTAGAGAGACTTGAATCAGAATGGTTCACAGTGGTGGTGATAGGAACCAAAAGTCCAAAGTGTTCAGTGCCTCTAAAAACTCCCTCACAGAAAGTTCTTACATGTAATGTCAGTATCTGAGACATTGTTTTACGATAGTTTTGAGATCAGATTTGCCAAAAATGTATGTTTTTAAAAGCTATTCATAGCAAAGGGGTACATGCAAGGTGTTATAAGGCCAAATAGTCCCCAAATAAAACTTAGTTTTTCAGATTTATCACTATTTTATATGCCTTGAGCAAATCTAATGACTGCATTTGTGTTTTATTCATAGTGACCCCTGGTTCCTATCAGGACCACTGTAACAAAGTCTGAGTTATTAAGCTTCTCTACAGTCTACTGTTTCACATCAAACCACTCTGAATTTGTTTACATCTTATCGATTGAGTTACGCAGACATTTTGAAAAATCTGTGGAATTCCCCTGTAAATCTGCTTTTTTGGATTCATTTATGACGTAGTGGTACGTACAGCAAGTCAGAATTAAGAAATAAACAGAATTATTAAACGAGTCCACTGAGAATACAGGATTAACCACTGTACTTTTCCCAGCACTTCAGTCACGATAACTTCACTCAGCAGGAACATCCATATCACAATATCACAATAAGAGTCCCATGTAATTCTGCAGTGTACATTTACTTGATACAATGGAAGTTTAAATATTTATTGAACATTTGTATTTATACTACCATTGATGGTAATATACTAGGACATGCATTCATGCATTTTTCAACCAGCCCCATGTGGATCAGCCAACCTGGCTAGTGGCTCCCAGGTAATCTGAGTCTGAGATCCCTGCTTTAAATGATTTTAGTTCAGATTTAATAATGATATTTTGCACCTAGATCAGCATTATGTGTCACATTGTGGTGATGTCTCAATGAGGTGAGGCAGTTGAGAAAATGCAGAGCTAACCTGCTACACAGCCTTGTGGTAGACACTACCTAACAAGTTCAGGTCACCATTAAAGGAATTAAAGTGGCAGTGCTGCAAATAGTGCTGACAGCAGTGATTACTAGCTCAGGGGATCAGATTTTATGTGTACATGTTTTACCACTAGTAGTGATAGCAGAACCATTTTTGGTACTATACAGAACTTTTTGTGAAGATACAAAATCTGATCCCCTGAGCTGGTATTCATTGCTGTTAGTACTTTGTGCTGCATTAATTCCTTTGAGAGGTTCTCTAAAGTACTATATGTAACAAGTTATCCATCATGGAGAAGAACCATTTAAACATGCAAAGATATCTATCTATGTATCTATCTATCTATCTGTCTATATATAATGTATTAAATATAACCTCATATATATATATATATATATATATATATATATATATATATATTATATATAAAACACAACTATTTTGGTGAATATATAGGTTTTGTGTAGCCACTATTTTGCTTTACGACGGCCCGCCTGTACCTCTTTGCCGTTAATGGAATTAATGAAATTTTAGGCTAAAAACTTATCTCAAAACTATTGTAGATGAATGTCTCTGGCGTCAGGCAAAATATTCATTATCTTTGAGCATAAGAACTTTCTGTGAGAGAGTCATTAGAGACATAAAAAGCTTCAGACATCTGGTTCCTATCTGACTTAGTATGTTTCTTTGAAACGGAGAATCTCACATCAAACCCCTCTGAATGACATCTTGATGATTGAATTGTGCAGAATTTTAAAAAATGGGTAGGATTCCCCTTTAAGAGAGTCACCCACTTCTTTTACAAAGGCACCCAGCCACAGTGGAGTTGGATTGAGTCATCTGTTTTTCGTTTGTTGAACGTCTATGTTTTATGGTCCTGCAAGAAAATAATGGCGCCATGTTTTTATCCATGCTGAACTCTTTGGAAGCCTGAGACTTGCTACAGTTGATTGTTACCAGTCACATTCACTGTGAAATCACCACACCTACTGCTTTTTATTATTATTTACTAATAAGGTGCTTAACTTGACATATTATCTGTACTTCTAAAGCTATTTGTGACAGTAAATGATATCTGAAAATATACTACACTCTTACAGATGAAGTTTCCTAATTGGTTGCTGGCTTGGACATGCGTTTCTCAAAAAACATTTATTTGGTGTAGAACTTTTACATTATGTGGAGGTTCTTTAAACTTTAAACACCTAAACACTTTTTCACATTTAAAAACATCCATTGAAAGGTTCTTTAGTGAACTACCAGTGGTTCTTCAGTGGCATTGCTCCAAAGAACCCTTTCTGGGCACCTTTGAAGCTATGTTTTGCTTGAAGCTATGTTCTAGTCATAATGTTTGAGTCATAATGTATCAGTTGTGCATAACTTAGTATTTGCTCAGCTATGGCAATATTTAATGCAAAAGGTGGCAGTAATAACTAGAGGTGGGCAACTCTCTTTCATATCAAACAATCCCGTACAACGGCCACAATAAAAAATAGCATTTAAACACAAGAAAAACTCTGCTAGAAATATTTACTTGCTTGATCATTGAAAATCCAGTTCGCTTCCAGATTTGTAAATCATATGCATTTGAATCAAAATATGTTACATTAATGTTACTGAGAGAAAAAATGTACAGTTCTACTGCGTGACCTCCCCTCATATAAGCCATGACATTAATGGCTGCTCTGAAAAGGGGCTAACACATCGCAGTATGTGAAACAATAAATAAAAATCACTGTATTCAGAGTTTTTTGTTTTTAAATATGGCACCACTATTGCCTTCTGTCTGTGTGTCAAAATACTGTGATACATACTGTGTGTTGTAAGAGTGTCTTGGAACTATTGTGATATGATATTTTGGCTACATCACCCATCCCTAGTAATAACCATGGACTACAATCATAGTTATTTATGTAATCATCCTAAACCTCTGAGAAAGTGTTTTTTTTATTAATCTAGCCAATCACAAAGGCAGACCTCCCTCCAGTATTACAGCTATGTTGGTGTAAAGTAGAACCTTTCATAAAAAAATATTTCATAATTATTTGTTATAGAACGGCTCTGCCTGGCACTGCGGGACTCTCTGAATCTAAAAAGTGGAAACTCCTTACTTGCATTAGAGACTAGATGTTACAACATACAGGTCTCTGAAATATTGTATGAACTTGTATGGACAGTGATGAAGGTTTGACCTACTGTTTTAAGTTCACTGTTATGAGGCTGTTAAACAGTGCACTTCTGCCGTACCTCAAGCTTCCAGAAGCTTTTGAATGTTTTTTTTTATCAGTGAAGTTATCTTGGCAATTAAAATAATGCTAATCTTCTGTCTCTCCTTTTGCAGATCTTGATCTTTCAGATGCTTTAGGTAAGTTACAACAGATTTTGCTAGCTTAATCTATTTTATATGTAGTTGGTGTTGTATTTTATTTAGTCACACTGAGCCTTGTGGAGTGAGATATTGGATTGTCGCTGTCATTCAAGAGTTTTCTTTGAAGCTGACAAAGCATAATCTATGTCAGCTAATGTAACAGAATTGGTGGTTAGTGTTCTCCTCCAAGCGCTTAAAGCTGCCCAATGACATTGTGTTAGCAGCAGTTTGAAAATATGCGGTGGTGCTTTACGTGTCTCAGAGGACATACCCTGTGTTAGCCTTCACCCTCCCAGCTTGGCAGCATTGTGTGCTCGGGGATAAGTGGGACTTGGACTTGACTAATTGGACTAATTGGACACGGGGGATAAGTGGGACTTGGACATGACTAATTTAGGGAGAAGAAGTGAGTAAAAAAATGAGAAGCTGACACAGTATTTCCGGGTGGTCATGAGTCATTATATACCGCTTAATTTCACTGTTTTGACAAAAGGCGTGGCCAGATTGCTTCAACAGTTTCTAGCCAAAACCTGCCAAAATGCATGAAAAACTGGCCACATCAAAAACAGTCTGTCATTTTGACCATAATATGAAATAAACAGTAGCAATAAACAAATGTGTTTATTACTGCTACCAAGAACCAAAAGCTTTTTTGATGTAATTTTTAATATATCTGCCAAACAGATCCAAAACAAATCCATTTTAAACTATGCATAAATTGTCTTTTTAGAATTTATAATGGATGCTTATCTGGGCCTGTTTGATGTCCTGCTTTTTTAAATGTTGTTTTTATATTATTAGCATAATCTTAATTATGACCCTTTTCTTTAAAGACCTTGATCCGGTGGCTCCAACTAAACCAGGTAAAGTTCTTTATACACATCATTCATTCACTCATTCATTCATGAGCCCTTTATTATATATATATATATATATACACACACACACACATATATATATATATATATATATATATATATATATATATATATATATAATATATATATATATATATATATATGTTTTACAGATGATATAAGTAAATGTACTGCACCACAAATATTGTTTTGACATTTGAATCTTTTTTAAGCAGCAATAAACATTTACATAAACAGTCGTTTAAACAGTTTAGACAGTTTTGTCCTACAGTTAACTCACTTTTGGAAATGACTTTGAAATGTGGCTTTGTAAATGTTTTGATAATTAATATATTTTATTTGTATGAAAACGGTGTTATAATTTAAATCAAGTAAATTTAGTGCAGCACTTTTTCAGCACATGTTATGTCTACAGTATTAGGCAGAATATGCAGTCATATGTAAAGTTGGTACAACCCTGGTCAAATGACGTGTTGCTGATGTCTTAAGTGAACTTAAATATGGCATTTTTCTGCAAATTTAGTGCATAATTTCTGTTTATTTGTTGAGAAAAAAAAACATAAAATGTCAATTGTGCTATAACCTTTGCACATGCCACAGTTTATGTTTTGTTTTTATGTTAAATTAAAAAAATAAAGAGTGATTATACATTAAAATGTGCAGAAGTGTGTCACTGTAGAGTATGTATTAATTTATTTTATTTATTTTCACTCTGAAAATCAGCAAAACGTGTCCCTTTATCAGGAGGTTCCAAACATTTGAATACAATTGTAGAACCACTTATGGAACATGCCGTTTTTAACAGATCTACAATCAGCCATAAAATATTATTATTTATAAAATATTATATCTTTTGAATTCTGTGTATTTGAATTTTTTTTGTTTGTGTTTATTCCTGCTTGCTGCTTGCCTAGTCCATACTGAGCTATCATGTGCTGTAAGTGACGTTTTAGATTGGATGCTATAGTATCATATTTATCATATACAATTACTGTTCCCACAGCCCAAAAGCCTCCCAAGGCCGGAGGAGATGGTGAGGCCACATGCATGCTTCTTGATACACATGCACTCACAATGTCCGTTTATTCAGACTGATATACAGTCCTATGGAAAAGTTTAAACACCCCTGGTCAAATTACATACTTTTCTAAGAAAATCAGTTTCTCCACAGGAAATAAACTTAAATATTGAATTTTTTCTGTAATTTTTCAACATTATTTTTCTGTATATTTTTTACATGATTTCTGTTTGCTGGGTTTAACATATTGAAAAAAAAATAAAACAGAACATAGGTGTCATAACTTTTGCACAGGCCACATGGTATGCTTTATTATTTTCCCAATATGTTAAATTCAGCCAATAAACAGTAACTGTATGCTAAAATATTAAAAATGAATTAAATTGATTTCATTTAGAAAAAAAGCATAATTTGACTATGGGCATGCAAACTTTTGCATACAACTATACATTTGAGCTTTTTCTGACAACATCTGTGTTTGGCTTCTTCTAGAACTTGATCTTTCTGATGCGCTTGGTCCAGGTATGTTGCTGATGTCTGAAGCTCTAACGTACTGAATGTATTGGAGTGTACTGGAGTAGCTGGAGAGTTTTCCTTGCTTGTAGATCTAAATCTGTCCCAGAAAAATGAATTTACCTGAGTGACGTGTCTGTGTCTTTTTTTTTACAACTGTCATGTTTTAGACACACCAAATGAGCCAAAGAAGCCTGCAGGAAACCCATCCAAAACTGGAGGTAAGAGACTCTTTAAAAGTGCACTTAACCTTTCAATGTGCTCACCATTGCGTCATGCAAATAATATATATAATTCTTTGTGATTCTTAGTTTCTTAGGGCAGTCATAACAACACTAACCCACAGTTTTAATATGAGCCTCTCTCAACCTATTAATGGTAAAAAAGTATTTTCAACGATTTGCATAGATTTGTACCAATAGTTCATCGAGAGAAGCCAATGAATGGAAACAAGCAGGACCAGTTACAATAGCTTAGTGCAAATGAGAGGCCGACTCCTGACTTCAGTGTTATGTTTGCTTTCATTAACTGTTAGCATTTCCGGATATATCCCCTTATTTATTTATTTGTTTATTTAATATTATACTTACTTCTTGTTAATATTTGTTTCTATTTTTGTGTGAGCACTCACCATGACAAATTCGTTTTGACATTTGCAGTTATTCTGTATGGCATGATATTAAATGTGCATGGTTTATGATGCTGCTAATAAAGTAAAGGTTTCCACATTAAGCACTGTTATATATGGTGCGGCATTTTGTGATGATTATATGATACAGAGCAGTATATATATATATATATATATATATATGTGTGTGTGTGTGTGTGTGTGTGTGTGCTTTGGGGGTGCAAACAGAAAAAAATGTGTGCAGAGAGGCCATTTCTGAACCTCAAAGCAACTTAATACTGTTTTTAAACTTAAAAAAAAATCATCTAATGTAATAATAATGTTTTTTTTCTCATTTTTTGACCGAGTTTTGACATTTCACCACTGCACCTGAGTAATCAACACACAAAAAAAGTTGAAAAAAGTTTTAAAAAGATGAAAAAAATTACTTTCACGGTACAAAAACTAAAGATTTACGAATGACTTGCTGTGAAAAAATGAGAAGATGACCAAAGGCATGTTCTGCTTTTTTTAAATGCATAAAATATACGTTATATTTTACATCTTATCTAGTAAATAAGTATGATATGACAACCAAAGTAACAATCAAAACATCTATGATTATGGTGGCACTGCTGCAGGTATGGTCAATTAGAAACAAAGAGATCTGCCAGTTGATGTGTTCATATCCTTTACAATATCCACTTGGTTTTGATGTATTGGATAATGAGCATTCAGAGTTTGATTGTTATCTCAGGCTGTTTACTGGCTTTGTGTTTGATTGACAGGTGATTTCGACATCTTGGATGCCTTGGGTATGAGCACCTCTATTCTGTTCATGTTGTTTGTGAATGTGTGCGGGTTTGTCTATGTCTCTGTTTGATTGTGTGTGAGAGAGTTTGCCTATGTGTGCTAAATTGGTTTATAATGATAATTAATGTGTTGAAATGTTCATTCTTCTTGTAGACCCAAAGAAACCAGCTGGAGGTAAAACACAGACACACACACACACGCGCACATACTGCCGTGACTGACAGAGGGTCTTTCCAGACAGTGTGTGTTTATTTATAAAAAGACAATTATAGCACAAAGACGGTGCCAGTGAATAAGACTCCCCACATGGACACACAGCCATATGACCTTTACCTCTTAAAAACGCCTTCCATTCAGTTCTGTCTTCAGTGCTAGAGTGTTCAGCAGCATAAAAATCAGGCTATTAATTTAATATAAAAATAATAATAAGAAGAAGAAGGAATTAAAACAATATTTTGTCATTTATTTTGTCTATTCTTACAGATCCAAAGAAACCAGTAGCTCCACCCAAAGATGGAGGTATAAACACTTTGTTCTTTGTGTGTGTGTGTGTGTGTGTGTGTGTGTTTATGTGTGTGTGTGTGCGTGTTCGTGTGTGTAAAACATTTCTTTTTGGTTTCTGATGGTAAGGTTGGCTTAGAGGTACCCTATACACTAACCAGTCACTCCATTAAGTACACCTCATTGTCCATTTTATCAGCTCCTCTTACCTTATAGGTGCACTTTGTAGTTCAGTTCTACAGTTACAGACTGTAGTCCAGCTGTTTCTCTGCATTGTTAGCCCCGTTTACCCTGTTCTTCAATGGTCTGGACCCCACAGGACCACCACAGAGCAGGTATTATTTGTGTGGTGGATCATTCTTAGCCATTCTCAACTATTCTCAGCCCACCCTCCCTACCCTACTTCAACAGATTGCTGCTACTCATTTCAAGCAAAAGAAAGTCCTGATAGCAAAGATAAATCTCTGTCTTAAGGACCTAAATCTTATGCAGCCATTTTTTGTAAGCTAATATAAGCTAAGCTAAGATAATCTAACTTGCTAGATATTGTTAAGGCGATCAGATATGTTTATTCGCCAGCGTTAGGTAACATTAATGAAACGCATGCAGATTTTTTTTAACTTGTCTGCTGTGATATTGCGTTAGCAAATGCCACATTATCAGTTAACACTTATTTTCGAACTTCAGAAAATATGTACCTAGATGTTCTTCAGTTCAGTTAAAATGAAGAAATCGCAAAATAAAGAGGAGAGCTTGATGATTCTTCATATGGCACATGTTATTATTATTATTATAGATAAGTAATTACATTTATGTAGTACACGTATAGTACAGTATGTACATCTTGTCACATACAGGTACTTACATGTACATACATGTACTTACATATATATAATACACATATGGCATGATTACATACAGTTAATTTTAATAAATTCTTAAATATAGATGGTATTATTACGTTCTTAACTTTCAGTATAAGTGTAATGTAAAGAGATTTTAGTCAAAGTCATTTCTATTGGTTCATTCATCATGTACTTGTCACACAATGTAAAAGACAGGTACTGTGTTGAATTGATGTAAGAAAATGGAAATATATGTCAAATATCAATGGTTAAATATGTGTGTGTATGTATTTGTGTATGTATGTATTTGTGTGTGTGTGTGTGTGTGTGTGTATGCTCCAATACTCCTTTGTGTTCAGTATTGTCATTATAGCTGTTGGCAATCCAGTGATGTGTTCCATTGCTTTAGGGGGTGGATTCAGTGATTCAGACTTGAGTGATGTGGCTGGTAATGATTACAAGCCTGATGCCGGCCGAGGGGGTCATGGAGGTGGGCGCTCATCTGTCTTTCGTTTTTATTTCTTGCTCATTTTTGAGTCAGCATTATTGAGCTCTCATAATCAAGATCAATAAGCTCTGGAACAGCAAAAAGTACTCACTGTTCATTGCAAAACTACTGTTACATAATATAATTGGATATTTATGGAAAAGTCTGCTCTCTTTTATGAATCAAAACCAAATGTATGGCTATTCTGCACCGCAAGAGGTTAGGAGAACTTGAAGAAAGAATGAACGGAAAGACAGAAATCCATGGTTACTACAGTAAATGAATGCCACATGTTGAGCTGTCCAATCACGTTTGGGGTGCCGCCCTGCACAAGTGAACTTGAGTAACCTTTTATGAAAGCAGGGTGGAGTCTGTCTCAGTTTACCACACAAAGGCAAATCCAGCCCATTTGAATATTTCAAAGCAGAATTCCTTCCAAAAAGGCAACGTGATGTTTTTCAGTTGCTGCCTACACCACTTTGTATCAAAGCTGATTACACAGTTTAAAGTTACACAAACACTGTTGTTCAAAAGTTTGAGATCAGCATGCTTAATAATAATAATGTGGCTGCAAATAACTGTATAAATGATTGTAATATACTAGTTCAGTGCAGCAGCACATAACTTATGTGTGTTGTTTCTTGTGGAAATTGTATTAGGGTGTATAAATTGTATCTTTACTGAGGTCTAAAAAGGTTTAAAAGCATCAAATTAGATTATTTAAATTGTGCATTAGGGAATCTTATCAGTATCGACAGAAAAAAACGTTTAAAAAAATGACAGATGTTTAGATCTGACTGATATTTTAAACTGATCTAAAGCTCTATTTGAGCTGGATTAGTTTTACCAGAAGAGTTCTGGGAATGTCATTTGTAAGAGATTCAACTGGTTGATTCCTACGAGTTACAGTATCTGTGTAATTTCCCCAAATTACCTCAGATAGCCCTGAAACGCCATAGTTCACTTCAGTTTTAAGAATAGACTTAAAAGGATCCAAACAAATAAACTACAAAGAGGAACTTCCAGTTAATAATAGAAGAGCTTTAGGTCAGTAAAATGGGCTCATGTAACTTAACAAATGTCACCCTACACTCGTATGCAAAAGTTTGGGCACCCCGGTCAAACTAAATTTTGTTGATTTTCTAAGTGAAAATAAATCAACACATGCTCTATAGAGAACACACATCTGCACTACTCATGTTAATGTTTGAACGACTCATTTTAATGTTTATATGCTGAATTTAAAATAAAATGGTGTGAAAGTAAAGGTACATTTTTATATTTAATGTTTTAGTTTTATTTTTACCATTATATTAAACTCAGCAAATTACTAGAAATTGTGCACTAAAATGCAATATTTACATGTGTTAACCTATTTTCACATAAAAATGAACAACACATATAATTTGGTAACAAACTCCGTCACTGTTGCCTTACATTTGATTGTCAAAGTCAACAGTCGTAGAGAATTAGTATATGAAGTGTCCTCTAAGTGTATAGACTTCAGCCTGTGATGTAAAAAATTACATCTAACTGTACATCTTCACCTTTTTTTGTTCATATTAGAAATGTTTGTTTGGTTTCAGAGCAGGCGGCAGATCAAAAATAATCCTACCTTCATGTTTTGAGTTTGTGAAAATGCTTTGAAATGTATTGAAGATGTTTTTGTAATTCTGTGGGTGATTATTTTTTGTGTGTGTGTGTGTGTGCGTGCGTGCGTGTGTGTTTGTGTGGCTCCAGGGCGTGCTGCTGACTCTTCCTACGACTCCAGTGGTAAATATTAAAGAATATGATTAGCATGCAGTGCTAACATGCACAGATTGAAAAACAGCAAAAATCTAACAGTGGCCAAATACAGAGCTGTGTTTAATTAATTTAATATTATATGTAGTCATCTCAACTTCTTATTCTGTTCTTTTGTTTAGGTGGTGATGGAGGAGCTCAAGGTAAATTTAATCAGTTTTTTAGAATGTGTCTTTTATGTCTGATGAAAATGAAATAGATTGTTTGTCAGATAAAAACATATTTCTCGTATTTTTTTAGTTTTTAACTGTATGTTAGGGCTGGCCTGAGCAATACTTTACAGGCTTTGTAAACCTCTTGTTCAAATACAGCTTATATGAGTAACTTCACAGAAGGAAAGTGTGTACAGAATTGAAATTATTGTTTTATCATATTGTTTTAGTATAGATTTAGTTTTAGTTGTTTTAAGTTTGTTTTCGTTTTTTTCTATCAAGTTATTTTATTTGGCTAGATTGCCTTTTTTTAATCATGGAAAGCAGCACTACGGGTGACATCCAGGCCAAGTTAAGCTCAGTCATAGCTGGGTTGAAATAATTCAAAGTAAGGTTGAGCTCGGTTATAGTTGGGATGAGCTCAGTAATAGTCAAATTGAGCTCAGTCGTAGCCGAGTTGCGCTTAGTCGTAACTGAGTCAAAGCTGCATTTAGCTCAGCCTGTCCAGGTTTAGGTTAGTGATAGCCGGGTTTAGCTCAGTCGTAGTTGGATTTAGCTCAGTCAGAGATGGGTTTAGCTCAGTCATGTGGCTCTATGACCTCAGCCTAAAAGGTTGCTGGGTAGAGTGGCTTATAGAATACTAAATAGAGAACTGAATACCAATATAATGAACAAAAGAAGTTTTAGAAGTTTTAACTCTTAATAGAAGTTGATGTAATGATTTTTTATAAGTAAAGTTGGACCATTTCTGTTTTTCTACTGATGACATTTTAACACAATGTAAAGGGCTGCTGAAATTTCCAAATTATGCAAAAACATCAAAAACGACAAAAATGATTGATTGATTGATTGATTGATTGATTGATTGTTTCTTTTTTATTGCCACACAACCTGTAGGTGGTAATTTTTTCTGGTACATATAGATGTAATTTGCCGATAGTAGCACACTGTACAAGCATACAAAGTAAAACATACATACAATAAACAGTGTACAATATAATATACAGCATACAACATGCAATATATATATATATATATATATATATATATATATATAGATATATATATATATATATATATATATAAGCATTGAGAAGCATGAGAAATTTCATCAGAACATTCTTAGAGGCTGGAATGTGGAATGTATGGACAGAGTATAATGATGCTTCTTAGAAGAGTTTAGCAACCTAATCGCAGTAGGAAAAAGGTAGTATACGTATATGGTATTTGATGATGAAATCTGTATATTCAACTGTTCAAATGTTTGGAATCACTGTTTCAGTATAATAATATAAATGTAGTTGGTGATAAATGTATAAAATGAGCAGAACATGATTAGACTAGTCCAATGCAACTTCACAGGTTTCAAATTAGACTGTGCGCTAGGAAGCTTTAAAAAAAGAAAAAAGAAACTTTAGATTTCCAGAGTGATGTACATTGAAAACAATTATATATTGTGGTCGGAAGAAAACTTTGTATCTCCAAAATGATAACTTTACAGGAGAAGGAAAAAAAACTACTTTACTTTTAATGTAAGTCAATGGAACCAGACTTTTTTCCAAGACATTTTGCTCATTTCTTTTAGTCCATTCATCATGAAATGTACATTACATCACTGATATATAATTGTTCTCAATGTACATTACTCTGGAAACATCTAAAGTTTCTTTTTCCTTTTTTAAAGCTTCCTAGCTCACAGTCTAATTTGAAACCTGTTGCATTGTATATATACATATATATAAATCTATCTATATACGTATATCTTCTTTAAATAACTTTGTAACTTTTGAAACTTTGAATCTAAAAAAAGCTTTTGTTGTCTAGTTTATAATATTTAAACCTGTATTTACATCTACAGTTCATGCAACTTTTTGTTATTACTGTATATAAAATAATAAGGATAAATAAATGTATAGGATAGTTGTTTTGATGGTCTCTACGAGTAAAACTGCACTGAGTTGAGTTGAGTATGTTAGAAGCACTGCTGTGTCTTTGTAAGTTCAGAAGGAAAAGTAATTAATGTCCCTTTCCGTTCAGTAACCTCACTCACCAGACTGTGTGACATGCTAGTGTTTTTGTGTAAAACTGTTTCCGTGGGAACTGTTTTATTGGAATGTGTCACTGTCCACGCTCCTCTCCCAGTAGAGTTAGCTCATCTATGTTAGCGGCACAGTGTGACTGTTTCTGTAAGTAGGAAGCTCATTACAATCCGGTTGCTTCAACTTTAATAATGTTATCATGCTACTGGCATCATTCACCCAAGACAGTGTAAAAAGTGTAAGGCTATAGGCCTGTTTGAACAGGCATAGTATTACTACAGAGAGAATTATGCTTGCAGGAAAAAAGGAAAAGTAAATAAACTAAAGAATGTAATAACATGACCTGACGTGTGGGCCTACATACAGGTCACTGAGGATTTATGGGGTTAAATTATTTGAGCTGTGTGTCTGCAGTGATTTGTTTACTGCTGTTTACAGAATGTACTACCTAAATTGTAACTGACTTGTAGTTGGACAGTTTGGATCCACTGCTGTGGAAGGGTGTGGTGAGGAATGATAAGAGGTTATCGAAGTAGGCAGAAGTCCAAATATGCACTGTGGCCCCCCAGAGTGAAGTGTAAACTGGTCTTAGTTTTTAAATAGTGATTTTTAATGAATTCAAATCTAAGTACTAAAATAACAGTGGGGCAGAACTTGAAACTGCACATTTGCACTCAAGACAACAAGCCAGTAGCACAATGAGTCGTTTGTGCTCCTTGTGTATACAGTTGTATGCAGACGTTTGGGCACCCCTGGTGAAATTACATGTTTTGTTGATTTTATAACTGACACTAAGTTTACATTTTCTATAGGGAACACACTTGAATATGGCATTTTTCTGCAAATTTACTGCACGATTTCTATTTCTTGCGAAGTTCAACATATAAAAAAAAACAAGGCAATTCAAGACAAGTTTTTTTTTAAATAGCACCTTTCATACACTGTAGTCATTCAAAGTGCTTTACAAATGAAAAAAAAACAGTCATTTAAAAAAGTAAAGTAGAAGAGAATAGAATTTTAACATAAATTAGAATAAGTAAAAATCAAATTAAAAATTCAAATTTAAATTAGGCTAAAAATTATCTGAGAGTTCTGCTCGGCTCATATTGCTGCAACATAGGAAATAAAAATGCTGGCCCTACACCACTGAGTAGTTTATAGACCAGTAATAAAACATTAAAGTCTATTCTATAACAAACTGGTACCCAGTGTAAGGATTTAAGAATGGGGGTGATGTGCTCCCTTCTTTTACTCCTAGTGAGACTCTGGCAGCTGCATTCTGAATCAGCTGAAGCTGTTTAATTGTCTTTTTTGGGAGTCCAGTAGGAGATCATTACAGTAATCAATCCTGCTAGAAATAAAGGTGATGATGAGTTTCTCCAGGTCTGCTTTCGTCAGAAAATCTCTGATCCTGATCTCTGAGCTGTTAAAATGCTTATTTAGTAACTGCTTTGACGTGACTGCTAAAACTAAGAGCAGAGTCCGTGACACCAAGGTTACGTACTAGTTCTCTCATAAAATATAAAATGTACCATTACTTTTTCAAAGGCAGTGTGTGTTTTATTGAAATGTGCAGAAGTGTGTTCTCTTTTCACTTCAACATCAACGAAACGTAACTTGACAGTCACTTGGGGGTGTTTAAACTTTTGCATATGACTATATGTGTGTATGTGACTTTAACAAAGCAAAGCTGCTCTTTGTGAACAATGCAGTTTCGATGACTAACTCATAACTCTTATGTAATCTTGAGTCTGACAGACGGAAGCCATTACTCTAATGGTCTCGTGCTGTAACCCAAAAAAGTGTTTTTTTTGGGGTAGTTCCATAGAAGAACCACTTTTGGTTCCCTAAAGAACCTGTTAATGTGTAGTATTTAATGGAAAAGTGTAAAGAACCTCCTCATAATGCAAATGTTCTATACCAGTTAAATTTGATTGAAATGTGTACATCGGTTCCACATGAACAAAATACATTACATTTTCCAAAAATAAGTAAAATAAATGACAGTAGTTGTGTTATGTGATATATTTCATTCATGTGAAACCAATGTACATGTACACATTTGAACCAAGTGGATTCAAAGCAACAATTTAGTTATAGAATCGTACACCCATGCCATAAACCATTTAAGAACATTTAATTTTGGTATTTTTGGTGAACTTCAACACAGTTTTAGAACCTTTTCACTCACGTTCAGTCATGCTTCCACAAACCTCTTATATTTCATAATACATTAACAGCAAGCTTGGTTTGATATGGTTTCATTTGACCTGATGGTGGTCTTGCTGCATTCTGCATGGTTTTACTATGCATTGATAGTTGATGGTTTGGTTTGAATTGGCTGTCCATTGTGTGAGAGGCCATGACCTAAATCTCTGCTTCGATATCCTGTCGTTGCAGACCTAGACCAGCAGTGGCTGAAGCTCCTGAAGTTGCTAGGAGATAACATTCCAGAAGGCCTCCATGCCTGGATTGCCAACTCTAAACAAGTAGTAATGTCCCTTCTAGAAAGGGTGCTGGAACTCCTGGATCTAGCAGAGCAAGAGAACCAGTCCTAAATGACTTGTTGATCACTGTTTTTTTCCTTTTTCGGCTAGATGTTAAGCTATTTCCCATGTTTGGTTACTGTAGGTGGCAGGTTGGTTTGGCTTGGTGGTGTAAACGTTGATGGTATTTCTTATTTTACTCTGTTTACAAAGTAGCTCTGTTGTCTAGCTAAGATGCTAACTGCACATGCTAGTGCATTTGTGGTATGAGGTCATTTTGTTTTCTTATTTGATTTATGAAGGGTGTGAGATGTTACTTTAAGCTTTTTTAACTAGTAAGTTATCTTTTATATGAATTTGATAGCAGATTGTCTAGACCCCTCTCACCAAATGGGCTTATTTCACCAACTGTTCCTAAGAAGAAATGTGTTCTTAAAACCCACTTATGCAGTTTTCACAAAGATTCTGACATTCGCCAATGTTTTCTTATTTGGGATTTGTTCTTAGGTAAGAAACAGAATCCACACACCCTCAAGAGCACAAAGGTGTGAACAATTCTGCGGTTTAAAAACGTCATGAATCTGACATAGACTTTTTCTTAGGACCTTTATCAAGAACAAATTAAAGAGAAAAACTTAGGAAGACATTGATGAATGAGGTCCATCCTCGTCCTCTTCCCACCCTTTTCTTATCCATTTCCTCTTTCTTTATTTCCTTTCTTCTCATTTCCGTATAGTTTTATCATCAGTAAAGTGAACTGCTTTTACGTCCTGAGCACAACAGATATCTGCTAACAATGTGCTAGGGCTGTTGTTCCAGTGCCGTTGGTGTCGCATTTAGGCAGAACCAGTTTCTCCTCTGTGGTTTTATGGTATGGAGTTTTCCCCCTGGGGCACTGTTGGAACATTCCTCTCCCAAATTCACTGCTGTTTGCTCTGCCCTCTTCCTCAGTGCTACAGCATTTCCTTACTTTTTCCGCAGCACGGTTTCTGTTCAGACATAAACGGCTTAGGTCGCTAACATTGCTAACAATAGTCTTCTGTGGTACATTACCTTAGAGCATGATTGAGGGCTGAAGTCTGTGTTTTTTGTCTTATATTGTCTTCTGGGCAGGTTTTTGTCCTCTTTTTTTTATCTCTCTCCTGTTCTGTGTTTGTGCTAAATGTGCTTACAAATGTGGAGAGGTCAGCAACTTCGAGCTTTTTTGTTGGCCTGAAACACAATTGCTATAAACATCATCTTTTTTAGTAATAATCTTTTCAGTCATACAATTACCTCAGAGAATGAGGACTGAAGTGTTCTTGGATATTTTTGCGTTCTTGTTATCTCTGTTATCTCTGTCCCTGGTTAGTTAATTAACTCTTTCTTTAGCCAGCATGCTAGCATGCAGCCTATAAAAAGCTAATCCGTTACCCTCAACTGCTAATTTTCTAACACCACTAACATTGGCCTTTACTTGTGTACTGCAAATATAACTATATCAGAGCATGATGTAGGTTTTAGTGTGCTTCATATAAGCATGGCTTGTCTTCTTGTTACCTTTTTTAGTATATATGTAACCCTGTTTAAACAGTGTCCACTAGCAGTGTGCTAACTCAAAACTCTTAAGAGGCTCTTTAGTGTCTCTCACTTCTAAGCTTTGTTTGCTTCAGTTGCTATCAGATTGCTAACATCGCTAACAGTCTTACTTACATAATTACCTCAGAATGGTTTAGGTGAAGCTTGCGCCATAAGCATGTTTTTGGCTTTGTTTTGTCTTTTTAGCGTAGCTCTATCCCTGTTTAGTGTTTCTTTGTGTTTGGTGTTCATGCTTATGTCTCCTTGTTGTATGCTAACTCAAAGCTCCTGAGAGGCCACTCAGTTTTGAGTTTGTTTTGTTTACTTGTAACCTCTTCAATTGCTAACAGATTGCTAACATCGCTAACAGTGGTCTTCTAACTTTTAGAATGACCTCAAAGCATGGATTAGGGTCAGAATTTGCTTCATGTAGGCATGTGGGGTCTTCTTTTTGGGGATCTTTTTTGCATGTCTATCCCTGTTTAGTCAAAACTGTTTCTGTACTTCCTGTCTTTATGCTAAAAGTGTCTCCTGGTAGTTTTCTTACTCAGAGCTCTTGAGAGGCTAGTATTCTGCGCTGTTTTTTTAGCCCTGAGACATGTCTTGTCATAACAAGCTTACCTTCAGTCTATAACTGACACTCGGGTAGGCCTGAGAGAGTCCATGCCAGAACACATACCATGCATTCAGCCCACACATAGCATGCGTTCAGCCCGCAGGGAAGAGGAGAGATCAAACTGAGCCAGAGAGAAATGAAGTCTGCATGTGTTCCTCAATTCCAGTGGAAGCCTGCTTATTTTTGGAGATGAGAGAGAAGTTTTATTTGAGAGGGGGTCTTTATGTTTCTGCTGTGTTCGATGTTTACAATATTTGGCTTTTGGGATACTATTTTGTTTTGAATGGACAGTATTGTATTCTCTGTTTGTTGTTGACATTGGTGTTTTTTTTTTTCATTCATGCATTTTTTCATTTTTTATTTTTTCTATTTGGATGGACTTGGTTTTTCCTCTTCTGTGGTGGTGGCTCAATTTTTCCACATTATTAAATGTGCAAAAGTGTTTTGCTGTGAGATCCTCAGTATGGCCGTTCATGCTCTTCTGCATTTGTGTTCCCTTTAATAAACTCATAGTGAAATGTGAAACCATTTTGGGCTCCTTCATTGGTCAAGCCAGAGCTATGTATTAATTTCTAAGCAGATCTTACTGATAACATGGCATCTTGAGAATGTGTAAGTGTGAGTGTATGACTCAGTGGCCTCCTCTGCCTCAGGCTGTGTGAACAAAATGAAGTGACAACTGTTTTATTGCCTTTTTATTGAAGTTTAGAAGATGTAGTCTGGATCTTGCTTTTTTTGTTTTGGGCAGTAATATGGCAAATATTGACTTAATATCTTTAAATAATTCTCAAGAAAATTCTCAAAATATTAACCTGTTATGTGAAAATGACTTATTTTCTCTAAATATTGACTTAGTATTTTGTTATAATGACTTATTATCCTTTACTTACTTTTTTGAAATTTAATAGCTATCTCAAATTTCTAAGAAAACAGGTTGTTGTTTTAAGACATTCAGCCAGTAGTCAGAGAAAAAATATCCATTATCCTGATATGCAAAGTCAGTATTTTAAAAATGTAAATCAGTGTTTTGAAATATGATTTCAAAGATCAGCATATAGATCAGTGTAAATACACAGTTTATTTTGTGTCCTTCAACTGCATCTAGGGCCTAGGTTAAAATTGTCATGATTGTTTACATAGCTAATGACAGGTAAGGTTTAGAGAATGGTGATTCCAGGTCAAGATAAAGAGGTGTGTCAGGGATTCCCCCCACACATCTGGGTGTCAATTATCCTTTGTTTTGCATGCATGGTTGCTGTTTGTACTGTAAACTTAGGTTCACCTTTGTGCAATATGGAAGGCCTCAAATATCAGTCATGCTGTGTGATTAATGCTGTAGTACCACAGATTAAGGATGAGTCATGTGACAAAAATATAACTTCACAATACTTTGAACAAATTGGTAAAACTATATTATTAAAATTTGATGGTGTCACAAGTGGATGTCATGCAAACAGATGTTTGTTACTATGCAGTTTTGCACTGGTTGTTGTTGTCTATAAACAAACATTGATGATACCCTATGATACACTTGAAAAAGAGCAACATGGTGTCATTCAACAAGAAAACAATAACACACTGTATAACACACCCTTGTTCTTTTGTGGTAATGTACCTAGGAATATTTTCAGTAAGATAAGATAATGACAGACTTTTGGCCCATCACATTAAGTTCCAGTGAATATCCATCCATGATTTAGGCAAAAAAATCTTGCAAAAAAAAATCTAAATGAAACTACTACTGCAGTGGTGCTGTATAATGTAGTGCTTCTATAATAATATACAATATTTTGTTTTCTATAATATTTCTGTAGTACTGTTTTTTAGTCATCTATAATACTTGTGTATTACCCCATAGTAAACTGTAGTAATTGTCCAAATTCACTATACGACTCTAGGAATCTTGTGAAAATTTCTGTAGTATTCCTGTTGTTCCTTTTTTTATAAGAACTGGATTTGGTACAGTTCACTGGAGGATGCATGCCTGACTAAGGAGCTTTGTCATGTCTCTGTATTTTTTTTTATTCACTGTAGTTGTGACTCACTTATCTCGAACATACTCTCCCTTCCCTAGAATGAAGGCCTACATGTCCAGGCAATAGATGCTGTTGACTGAAAGCCACCACCAACTTGGTGCTTGTGTTTTCCTGTTGATCACCTTCCTTTACTATTTCCAACAAAGAAGGAAATTCTTGTGCTACACTGACACCTAGTGGTGAAAAGACATAATGCTTTTTTTATCTTCAGTAAAATTTTCCTCTAACTTTTGAACTTAGGTAAGATAAAGGGGCCACATCCTACATTTTGTCCCACATTTTTTGGCATATTTTTGAGGTCCAATATGTTGCTTGGTTTAGTTCATACACCAAAACCTGTCATACTTTATTTTTGTCATATTTGACCATGTAAATGACCTTGGTTACAATTGGCTGGCCTCCTTTGTGCCTCATTCAAAAAGCGATTTAGGCTGTAATAGTGGACTAAGCTGCTGTATGCTGACTAGGTAAATGTGTTAGTTGTCTTTTCATTTAAAAAAAACAAAAAACAAAACAAAAAAAAACTGTAGCTTAGTTCCCACATACAGGCTGTTTGGACTGGGTATTGAACGGTACGCCTTGAAACTTTGATAATGTTTAAATATTACATCAAACCACTTAATTTAAAAAAAGCGCCCTTAAAAAATCTTTGTAGATATTCAGTAATGTGATTCAGATGGGTATTGAGAGCAGTATTCTAAATAGGTATATATAGTCTCCAATACTATAGTGGTGTATCGGGTTAATTCAGGTAAAGGAGGGGTTCCTCAAATATCTTCAGTTTGTTAAGAGGTGGGAGCTGGTGACTTACAGGGTCTCTATATTGTGAATTGCTGTTTCTGTAATTGTGTCCCCGTTTGTCGTGTAGAAGGTGTACAAGGTGGTCAGATGGCTGGCATCCTCAGCGCAGTGGGTGTGGCTATACTTGGTGCCGCCTCCAGCTACTTTGCTTACCAGAAGAAGAAACTCTGCTTCAAGATTCAAGGAGGTGGGTGTTGCCTATAGTGAGATGAATACAGGAGATAGATCCTGAAAGAAATACTTCATACATCTAGGCATTTTTCAAGCTAAACTTTGTTTGCCGTATCAATATTGTGTGGCTGAATATCATGGGTGATCATTTTGACAGTTTCCTTGTATTTAGTAAAAGAGCAGAACTGTCATTGAAACTCACTTGTAATACAAGTCAGTGGGCAGCTGTTTTGCAATGGGCTCTTCCTACTGGCTCTGTAAATTATTATTATTTTTTTTATTTATTTTTTTTCTAAGCCTGAATCTCGAATGGTTCCATATCCGTTATATAGTGCGCTGCATGAGTCACAAAAATATAGCTATTGCAATCAAATGTCCTTTTTAAAGCTCCTTCAAGATCTCTATGAACTTTTATTTCAAAGTTTCTGTGTTCGTTTTGAAGTACCACTAGCGCCTCTAGTGGTGCCAGTGTGTAACCACAGCTGCCATGTGGCAGACAGTGTCGGATTACAAAGCCCCAGAAAGCTGGGGCCTCAACAGGTGGCTCTGTGGCGCAATGGATAGCGCATTGGACTTCTAAGTAACACTTGGTGAAGTGATTCAAAGGTTGTGGGTTCGAGTCCCACCAGAGTCGAGGTTTTTAATTAAATGCTGAGCACAATGAGCAACTGAAAAGACTCAAGGTTAATAGAGGGGACCTCTCATGTGGCATACTGAAGAACTTTATTCGTGGATTTATTTTATTTTATTGTGTGTGTTTTGTGCAGGAACTGACCCTGAGAGTGGTGTGAACCACGCTGGCACACAGTCCGAACCTCAAGGTAAATCAACTTATATGTACATATTATTGTAGAATTCAATTTATAATTAATAATTATTAGTTCATTGATTAATCATTAATAATTAATTATTTATTTTCAGATAAGATTGGATAATAATTGGATAAGAATCATGCCCTCAAAGTGGAAAATTAGACCATAAACTCATTCAAATGATTAGTATACTTAATAGTTTACTGTCTAGTAGCAAATACAAATGCATTAGTACAGTATTTACTACTAAATTAATGTAAATTAATTATACTGCTCTGCAATTTACCATGGACTATTCACCATCCAGGGCTGATAGTATATGTATTTTTCTTATCTATAATTATATATTCTGTTGAAAGTCAGTATAAATTTACATATAGTTTTGTGTTAATGATCACTAATGATGCGTATTGATCATAATGATACATAATGATACAATCCAGTGTTTTTTACAGCATATATATATATATATATATATATTATATATATATAATATATTATTATTATATATATATATATATAACGATATTCTTACTGTATTATTTTCTTATAATGTTCGATACTTTTTATTTCTGCAGTTCTCAGCAACCTTCTGAAATCATCCTAACTCCTTCAGAGATGCATCTTCCAAATGCATGTACAGATAGCTGAGGCCTAAGGACAATATAATCCTCATATGAGTTTGAAGTTGATGTGTTTAATGATTTTATTTGTCTTTGATGTTTGTATTTTGTTTGTTTGTCTTTGCTGTGTCAATTGATTGATTTCTTTTTTTTTCTTTTTAGTTGTGTAAATTGTTTTGGATTGATTTTTCCAGCATTTGTATAGCAAATTTTACCTAAAGGATTGCTTTAAAACTTGAACTGCGATATTCTCGAATGTTAATGAGAATACATAGTTAAACGGACATTTATTAATATTAGTGTGTTCATGTTATTTTGGTAGTATTGAGAAAATGTCATACGTGGCACTTTAACTGAAAGAAAGGAAGCGCAGAAAATGAGCTAACAGTACACATCGATTAACCTTAATGTCAAATATACAATGTTTCATTTGACATGTTGCTAAGTTGAAAGTCTCATTTTTTCATGTCATATATATACATATATATATATATATGTAGTACAAATATAGCATCTGATGCCTGTTTTTAGAACAGAAAACTGCTAGCTGGCTGCTTTTCCATGCATAAATATAATATATGTATGGTATATTACAGTATGCTCTGTTAAGAACATATGCAGTACTTTGCCACAGTCTTAAGCAGATAAGAAAACTGTTTAAAACTGTTTCGCTGGGCAGTAAGTGTGTTTTTATGTAGTGCCAGTAAAACACTGGCACTAGATATTACTATATATTCTATTACATTAGAATAATGTTTTTAATATGCTGGTTGGATGAATACAGTCAGGAGAACACAGGTTTGGTTCCTGACCTCTCGCTGCACTCCAGTCATCGCAAGGATTTGTTTAATTACTTAATTAATAGTACACCTGATTTAATTTAACCCCCTAAATGGCCCAAAGTTTTATTACATACTTCTATAACCAAAAAATAGCTCAGTCAGTTTGCACTGAAGTCCCAGTAATTACTGAATAATAAGCCTCAGTGTGTAATAAGCTTGGGATTTTAAGTGGTTAATAAGGGGTTGATTAGCTGAAACCTGCACTGCATAGTAACTGTAAATACTGGGCTGCCTCTACGAGAGCTTTGGAAATGGTTAAGCTCACACATAAAATCAATGTATTGTTTATTAATCTATATTTTTTCTAATATTAGTGTTTTTTGAGCACTAATAAACACTTCCTGCTCAGTTAAATGACTTTACACATCGTTTTTCTCAGACTTGCTAATGACTGTATATTTTCCATATATATATTTTTCCCCAGGCAAGAAAACCTTGATAATTAGATAACTCTTTTTAAACATATTGTAATTGTAGTAAAATGAAAAGTTTGGCTCATGTGGTTCAACTATGACCTTTCAAATATTGAATTTACATTTATGATGTTTAGAATTATAATGTTTGGATGCTGTAACCAATGTAAAATAGAGTGAGTGATGAATATTGCTGTATTGGATACTATTGTATGTAGGAATTTTACAGTGCCTTTGTTAACACAGCAGTGAATGTTTTAAAGGCTTCCTTCACTTCATGCATATTTTTCTTGGGGTGGGGGGGGGTGGGGGGGGGTGGGGGGGGGTGGGGGGGGTAATGTATCCACTAGCAGAACTTTTACTTTTCTGCCTTTTTTTTTTTGTACAAAATGGCTTTTGAAGTTCTGATTAGACTTTTTGCTTTTAACCCTGTAGGTGACTATCAGTAATCACATATCACTATCGGTTGTGTATATGACTAAGCAATATACAGGTATATTGACTACACTAATATGAATATTTGCATCAGTTTGTTTTCTGCTTTTTTTATAAGAAGCGCAGGTGCTGAGCTTTTCTGTTGTAAATGATAATGAAGATTGTTTCACACTTTCTGTACCATGCAGTCTCTGATTTTAAAGGAAATACTTTTGGTTGAACAGTAAATATTCAGTTTACGCTAATTTCTCTCTTTGGAATCAAGCTAATTAGGACTGTTCTGCTAGAGTTGCCAGGCTGAGGAGAAATAGTTAACTAACATCTTGATAGTTTGTGTTTCAAGCCTACGTTCGTACACATCCAATGCAGATTGGTGTTTTCTGAGTGATACATTGTTTAAGTGCCCTTGACTTGATGTTGTTAAGGATTGAACCAAATAAAGATTTTGACCATTATGGGATGCCTAACCATAATGTAAACACCCATGTAGTGTACTGAATATTATACACATCGTTTTATACACATATACATATATACTGTAACTTTGGGGAAGAAGCCCCCCAGGGTCAGATGCTTTTTCACCCCTTTTTTATTTTTTTCCTGAAGAAATGTGGGGCCAAATTTCATCTGGAAATTTGTGTCATCTGTGTTAAAAAATACATGACTATATATGTTTTTGTATATATATATATATATATATATATATACAATATATATGTATATGTATATGTTTTGTGTATCCTTTTACAATAATAACAGCAATGCTGGATATAATGATTTTTTTTTAAAGAATGACCATTGAGGTATAATGGAAAACATTTTCAACAAGTTCAAACTGCAGTCCCACAGTAATTGAGATAGTAAACTAAAAAACACACAAAATAATCTTTTTTCACAGAGGTGTTCAATGTTATTCGTAAATAGTCAGTGTGGCTGCAGGTTTTCTTTCCAAACAGGAGCCCACATGGTTCCACTTGTGTTATCAGTTAGTATCAGTCTTAAACAGTTGATCAGGTGCTCCTGCTGTGTTGGAATGAAAACCTGCTGGCACACTGGCCCTTTGTGGATAAGACCTAACACACCCGATTTATAAGGTATTTTCTTTGGCTGTTCCAAACCCCTAAACCTCAACCTATACATATATGTGTGTGTGTGTGTGTGTGTGTGTGTGTGTGTGTGTGTGTGTGTGGTGTGTGTGTAATGCCACTACTAACACACAAATAGTTTTAGATCATAAGCGGAGCTTATTTTAGCCACACCCCTGCATTTTAGAGCAGGAAGTGAAACTGCATCCCTGTCCCTCATGGCCACATGGTGAGCAGTTAGATCCCACTGTTTGGAAGTAAATGTCTGAAAATCAGTGTGTAACATTAAGAATTTTCTGCAATTAAGTAGACTTTAAAACGGGGATTGCTAGTCTGTGTTTGGTAACATTTTTGAGTTATACTCAAAAATAGGTGGAACAGTGAATGCCTCAAAACATTTGGTTTCGCTAGTGTCATGATTGTTTTGGTAGTGATGTATGATAAAATGATAATAAGATGTTCAATCATTTGTTTTAATAAAATAAACATAATTCAGGTATAGGGTCACTCAAAGCTAAAGGATTTTAGTCTGAGGTGTGTTTTGAACTCTGAACTTTGAACCAATTCATTGGAATGATTAGTATAATATATATATATATATATATATATATATATATATATATATATATATATATGTGTGTGTGTGTGTGTGTGTGTGTGTGTGTGTGTGTGTGTGTGTGTGTGTGTTATATGTTAATCTGTTAATCATGTGCTTCTCTGTAGTCCTGCATGATTTCTGTTGACAGCAGTAAGTACTGCTGGTACTGTAGATCTCATTCATTGCACGTTGCATAGCAGCCCAGGCTAAATGTGTTAGCCCAGTTGAATGACCTCCAGTATCTCATGACCGTTATACCCAGAGACCCGCTTGTTTATTTTTTCTCCTGTTGACCTTTTCTTTAAAGTGACGACATCTGGAGTTACCACTACGACCAGTTGAGTTTCAGCTTGTTCTGCTTCATGTACGGTATAAGCTATTAAGCTATGCTATGTTGAAGTAATATTCTATAGCCAACTTGATTCTTAGACCAGGCAGTGTGTCATAGAGTTACAGTGTTGGATCTAGGAGCAGGTCTTCATGCACTGACTGTTGCTTTTTGGTCTTTGATTTAATGTTGCAACATAAATTTCTTTGCTAGGCACCAGGAGTACTACAGGAAAATGACAGGTAAGTAAAGAACTTAAATCTCTTCTTATGTCTCAGTTGGCCTCTGGTTAGATTTCATGAACTCGTTTACTCACTCTGCACTCTGCAACATCAAAATAGTCTATTATGTTTCTGTTCGTCATTTTTTTTTTACAATGTTTTATTGCATACTGTCCTTGAAACTTGAAAGGTGCTCTATTAGCCCATAGCATAACATTAGCTCATGCTAAAGCATTCGCACAGCATACTCACTATCCTCTAATAGCCTGCACACGTAAAAATGGTTCTTCAACGGTTCTTTAATAATGAAAATAGTTCTATATAGAACCATGAACACTCATAGGACCATTTGCATGATTAAAGAGTTCTTGGCATTGTGAAAGAGTTCTTTGTATTGATGGAGAATGTGCTGAAGATGGTACTATATAGGACCTTTGTGAAAAGAGTTCTTTATAGCACCAAAAAAAGTGCTATATAGAAGCACCTACAACACATCCCTTATCAATCTGAAGAACGCTTTCATGATGCAAAGAACCCTTTAATCATGCAAAGGGTTCTATGAGTGTTCATGGTTCTAAATAGAACATTTTTTTTTACTAAAGAACCCTTGAAAAAACATCTTTTTAAGTGTGTATAGCATGCTTCATGCTAAAGCTTTCCTGTAGCATTCTCACTGTTCCTGATTGGCTTATAGCACATTTCATGTCAATGCATTCCAATAGCATTCTCACTATTGCTTATTAGCTTATAGCACACTTCATACTAAAGCTTGTTAACCAGCATGACCAGCTTGACCAACCTGGTTGACCAGCATGATCAGCTTGTCCAAGCTGGTTGACCAGCCTGACCAGCTTGGACAAGCTGGGTGACCAGCTTAACCAGTTGATGAGCATCATGAAGTCCAGCTGGAGGATCAACGTACCTTGGCCAACAAAGACCAGCTTAGACCATCTGAAACCACCAAAAACTGGACCTAGGTATTGTTTAATACACAAATGCTAGTATTTTCATATCAGAGATCAGTTAGTTCCATTAAAGTGACAATAACTAGTCCAAATCCATAACAGAAAGTACTTCAACCCTATGGCAAGCTACCATAAACCTATCCTACACTTTAATGACAACATTCAATTAAAATCACACACCAATTAAGTTTTATCATTTTTTTAATTCATTCTGCACACCAGCATATCCTTTCGGTCATTCCGACCTCAGCCTCTGTCCAGTGAACTGAGATATTTCAATCATCTAATGGCCATCTGTTCCTTTGGTCTGGCAGAAGGAAGAAGGTCAGAGAGAAAACTGAGTCATTAATCAAATATGGAAGGCCTCTGATTAATCAAGCCTGCATCAGAGGAGAGATCACATTAGTGGGCATCATGATATAAATATTTATTCCTGCTTTATTGTCATGTTTCAGTCCAAGAACCCACCTACTTCTACATTCAGGTGGTTGGACAGAATATGGGAAACCCCAAATAAAAAGCTGGTTGCAAGTTTTTAAAAGTACATTTTTCTTTTACTTAGGAATTCCCGCTGTCAGCTTGTCACTGTGATGGGCCTATTTTATTGAATAATAGTCCAAATTGATACTCCAAGTGGAAAAAGGAACTCCTTATATGATATATGTTATATATGGCCATATTGACTGGAATTAAATAAATAATCTGCTGTATTACATTCATTTTTTGATGTTGCAACTATTTCACTGCCTGTTTCTACTGTGCTTTTACATTATTGTCTCTCTGTTTATAAGTATGTGTCTCTTTTTCTCTTTCAGTGGCTCACCAGGCCTTTGTGACTCTGGCCACTACTGATGCCTACTGTAAGGGGAGTCTAGTGGTGGGCAAGTGTTTACGAAGGCATGGAACAACTCGAAAATTGGTGGTGATGATCTCTCCCAGTATTAGCAGAGAGACACGGTAATGGGATCTCTCAAATCTTAAGCCATGCTTCAAAATGTACCACAAAAATAGGTAATTGTATACAACAATTGGTGGATCTTAATTCAATTGACTTAATTCATGTTTCTTTAGAAATCAATTAAGTGCATTGCGAAATCTAACATTCACCTCAATTCAATTTGATTCTGTTGGTACAATTCTGTTTTTTTTTAAAAAAGTTACTGAACATAAAAACAGTAAACCAAGCTTTTTTACTGTCTGAAAACAGCCTGAATTTTTATTCTGGCCTAAAATGACTACATATACAAGCATACTGACCACATTCAGATCAATGCATTGTTACACCCCATTGTGCATAAATGAACATTATTTTGGTAATGCACTGAAAAATATATCACACTGGTAAAATCTATTTAAAAGCAAAAATAATCTAGAAGTTCTTCACTAAAAAAAATCTGTTAAGTCTTGTCACTGTTACTCATCTATGCACAGTAATAGTCTTGTGTTTATGCGTATGTCCTCAGTGTGTCTTTAGAGGACGTGTTTGATGAGATCATAGTGGTGGATGTGTTGGACAGCAGGGACAGTGCTCACCTCTCCTGGCTGAGACGTCCAGACCTAGGTGTCACTTTCACCAAGATTCATTGCTGGACGCTCACACACTACACTAAGTGTGTGTTTCTGGATGCCGACACACTCGTAAGTGTTCACTAAAGAAATACACTCACTGTCCTTCAGAAACTCCTTCCATATAGGTGCACTTTGTAGGTTTACAGTTACTGACGGAAGCCCATCTGTTGATGCATAATTTATCAGCCCACCTCCACCCCATCAATCACAAAGGGACTGCCATGGGGCTACCGCTGACCAGGTATTATTTAGGTGGTGGATGTTCTCAGCTCAACAGTGGCATGGACAAAATATTGCTTTATGTTCATTTAAACTATTTATTCTTGCTTTGCATTGTTTAATTCTAACTATGTATTTATTTATTTCAGTTTTTCAGGTAAACCAGTCCAGTTGCTTGTTTCCACATTACCACTATTTCTTTTAAGTTCAATTGACAAACAAGTCAGATACAGTCGGAGACTGTATCATATGCAAAATTATCATCCTCTAGCTCTTCATCAGTGGTCAGTTACTGATTAAAGTAGACTGTTGACTGGATAGCACATCACTCACTACCATGCTACTACCATGTTGGTGTCACTGCAATGATGAGAATGGTCCTCCACCTTAAAACGTTCTGATCAGCTGTGGCTCTATGGTTTTTATTGATGCACCTAATCTGCTAATCTGCTAATTGAGTCAGTTTTGTTTTGTCAGTTAAGTAGAAAAATAATTTGACCATTTTGAGCTTTTATTTGGGTTCATTCAAAGACTTCAATAAATTAGCTATGGTGCCAGTTCTGTGCAAATCATACATTCTTTCACAAGCCATTTGACTTTTTTATTGTTTCAACTTAATTTAGCCTTTCCCTTTAACAGTCTTTTTATCTATTGTTAAAAAAAATACAATAGAAAATAGTGCGCTTAATTACAGACTGTAAAAAAACAGAACATCAACGGATTAACTACACACATACTTTAAATGCTGTTTGGAAAGATTATTATGTGTATTTTCAATCTGGCAAAGAATAGTAGAGAACATGCTTATGAAACACGGACACAAGCTTGTTCAGAAGAAGGGCGCCAATGTGCCATTTTGCCAATATTTTAGTTTCTGACCACATAAACGTAGCTTATGTGTAACATAATCTTACCATCCCTCTTCTATAATTCTGCAAATGACAAGTGTTTGTCTAAATGTATATTGTTGTTGAAGCCTACATAGGAGCAAACCACCTGGACTTCATTCACATTGGTCTTCAATTGACAGTGAACATCAGTCAGTGCAAAAGTGTGTATTTCAGTATTTGCTCTAGACTATAATATAAAGTGAATCGCTACTGAAAATTAATGTTCATGGCATGTCACTGAAAGAACCTGTTCTCCTTGCTGACAAAGCAAACAGTGAAAACATTTGGGCAGGCTTGTGTTTAAAGGCCATGGCCAGCCAAACAGACTTCAAAAGACTGTGATAACTGTGTGTTTTCACAAATATTTCACAAAGAGCTGATGTCCCATGGTCCACACCCAACTGCAGTTTTTCTCATGTAGTCATATCACACTGCTGTCACAGCTATAATTGCTTTGTATGCAATAATAGCATGGCATGCTTGTTGTTGCCAGACAGGCTAGTTTGATCTGATCTCCTGGAATTTTCATGCGCAACATTCTCTAAAGCTTACTCAGAATGGTGCAATAGATAAAAAAAAACATCCAGTGAGCAGAAGTTCTTGTTAATGATAGAGGTCAGTGGAGATTGGCCAAACTGGTCAAGCTGACAGAAATACTACAGTAACTCAGATAACTACTCTGTACAATTATGGTGAGCAGAAAAGCATCCCAGAAGGTGCATCACTTCAAACCTTGAGGTGGATGGGCTACAACAGCAGAAGACCACGTTGAGCCAAGCACAGAAAGCTGAGGCTACAGTGGGCACAGGCTCACAAAAACTGGACAGTTGAAAACCTGGAAAAATGTAGTCTGGTTTCATGAATCTCAGATGGTAGGGACAGAATTTGGGACCAACAGCATGAATCCATGGACCAAACCTGCCTTGTGTCAATAGTTCAGGCTGGTGGAGGTGGTGTAATTGTGTGAGGGATGTGTTTTTGACACATGTTAATACCAATCAATCATTGCTTGAATGTCACAGCCCATTTGAGTATTGTTGCTGACCATGTGCATCCCTTTATGGCCACAATTTACCATCTTCTAACGACTACTTCCAGCATGATAATGCACAATGTCAAGTAAAAAGTAATCTCAGAATGGTTTCATGAACAAGACAATGAGTTCAGTGTCCTTTGGTGGCCTTTCCAGTCACCGGATCTGAATCCAGTATGGGATGTGGAAGAACGGGAGATACGCAGCATGACAGTGCACCTGAAAAATCTGTAGAAATTGCATGATCTAATCATGTCAACACGGACCAGAATGTCAAAAAAATGTTTCCAACATCTTGTGGAATCCATGCCGTGAAGAATTGATACTGTTTTGAAAGCAAATGGAGGCCCTACCCAGTATTAGTATCGTAGTTCTAGTAATTTGTGGCAAACATGATGATTTATACATGTAATTAGTGCAATCCCAGTGAACAAAGAATGCCTTTGAATATCCAAAATCTGTTAAAAATTTGTCAGTCCATCATGGACATATTATGAGCATAAATGCATGTCCACAATCCATTTTACGATGTCAGTATACGACTTATTAATAATTTCAACAGATGTTGAATATTCGCTAGGCGACCTATTCATAAAGTTAATGGATTTCCAAGGTTAGTTTCGATAAACTGATTAGATGGTGACCTACTACCAACGGTCATGTGTGACCTAAATCTGTGTTTAAAAGACAGTTTATCAGAAATCTTTTTCCAACCAGTCTATTTTGGGAGCCCAATATTTGTTAAAGATGCCCCACGATGAATTGAACGTGTAGCGTAGCATAGAATAACTTTTAAAACTAATACTACTAATACCAATCATGATAATGTGTCCTTTGTGAAATAACGCCCTTGCAATCCATTTTCAGTTTAAGTGTCCACCTAACTAAGTTTGTTTTGTTTGATGTCGAATGGAACCAAAATTGTGTTGGTTAACTACACATAGGTTTACTTTAACATGCATTCTTTATTTAACCATTGTAAAGTAGATTGATAGTAGTGCAAAGTCATTGAAGTGGATTTTGTTCTGGTTCATGCTAACAATGTGAGATTACTGTAAATAATTTAGAATAACATTTTGTAAATAAAGTTTATTTTTTATAAAAATGTATAAATTGATAAACATTATCTGTGCTTGCTGTGTATGTATAGCAGAGTTCATTACAAAAATTACATTAAATTGCTAACTATTATAAAAAAAATTACTTATTAGCTACATTAGCCTTGCAGCTCCAGTGCAAAACTAAAGAAGCAAACTTCAAACTTTTCATAATAAGGGGAACATTACTCTTTGTTATAGAAATGAGGGGCTGATATTTGATCTGCCTTATGCTCTTCTGTGTTGTCTCAGGTGTTGGGCAACGTAGATGAGCTTTTCGAGCGAGAGGAGTTGTCAGCGGCTCCAGATCCAGGCTGGCCGGATTGCTTCAATTCTGGAGTCTTTGTTTTCAGACCCAGCCTGGACACCTACTTACGCCTGCTGAAGCACGCTGACCTGCATGGCAGCTTTGACGGTGAAGTGAAGGAAATGGTTGCGGTATACATTCTCAAAAACAAGATAAAAGTTCTTTGGAGGGTCCTTATTCTTTTTTTCTTGTAAATGAGATATGCATATGAACCTTAAAATTTAAAGAACCTGCACATAATCTAAAGGTTCTTTACCCAAGTTTTTTTCTTAGAACCACATGCCCAAGGCAAGAATTATTTAGGAATCTTTCTTTTTAAGAATGCAGCTGCAGAAAAGTTAATCATTTCAAATACATTCAGTGCAACTCTGATGCAAAGTCCTGAAGGTTTTAAGTGAATGAAATTCACCAATCAGGCATAACATTATGACCTCCTTGTTTCTATGCTCATTGTCCATTTTATCAGCTCCACTTACTATATAGGTGCACTTTGTAGTTCTACAATTACAGACTGTAGTCCATCTGTTTCTCTGCATACTTTATTAGCCCACTTTTACTCTGTTCTTCAGCGGTCAGGACCCCTATGGATCCTCACAGAGCAGGTACTATTTGGGTGGTGGATCATTCTCAGCACTGCAGTAACACTGGTGTGTTAGTGTGTGTTGCGCTGGTCTGAGTGGATCAGACTCAGCAGTGCTGCTGGAGCTTTTAAACACTGTGTCCACTCACTATCCACTCTATTAGACACTCCTACCTTGTCTGTCCACCTTGTAGATGTAAAGTCAGAGACGATAGCTCATCTGCTGCTGCACAGTTTGTGTTGGTCATCCTCTAGTCCTTCATCAGTGGTCACAGGACGCTGCCCACAAGACGCTGTTGGCTGGATATTTTGGTTGGTGGACCATTCTCAGTCCAGCAGTGACACTGAGGGGTTTAAAAACTCCAGCAGCACTGCTGTGTCTGATCCACTCAGACCAGCACAACACACACCGCCACCATGTCAGTGTTACTGCAGTGCTGAGAATGATCCACCACCCAAATAGTACCTGCTCTGTGAGGGTCCATAGGGGTCCTGACCGCTGAAGAACAGAGTAAAAGTGGGCTAACAAAGTATGCAGAGAAACAGATGGACTACAGTCTGTAATTGTAGAACTACAAAGTGCACCTATATAGTAAGTGGAGCTGATAAAATGGACAATGAGCATAGAAACAAGGAGGTGGTCAAAATGTTATGCCTGATCAGTGTATTATCAGAGCTGATCAGCTGTCCTGTACTGTGCCACATTCAAAAAGAGGTCCGGACACTCCTTATAACTTCAGTGTGAGTGAATAGGCAGACATATGTAATTGCACTGGTTATTGTGAGATCACAGTCAGCAATGACTTCAAAACAGGCTGTTTCTGCAGTTTCCATAAACAGATCCTATGAACATAAATGGATTGTAGAAAAGTACTATGCCATTTCAAAAAAGCATGAAAAAATTATGTTGCATTTTGTTTTTTAGGAGGTGACCAAGGACTTCTAAACTCCTTCTTCAGTGACTGGGCAACAAAAGACATCAACAAACATCTACCGTTTATTTATAACCTAAGTGCCAGTGCACTGTACACATACTTACCTGCTTTCCACAAGTATGTATTCATCAGCAAACCATAAACCAAAAATGTACACAAAGGAGTAAAGGGGAAGTTTATAATGCAGTTCTTTTCCTTTATGCTGATTGTTTGTTGTTATTCAGGTATGGTCATCAGGCAAGAATTATTCACTTCCTGGGTGGAACCAAGCCCTGGAACCTCCAATACAACCAGCAACCGTCCAGTGATGTTGATCCATTGGATTTCAGCAGGAATTTGGAGCGCTATGTAAATATGTGGTGGGAGGAGTACAACAGCCAGACAGGCCAGCAAGTAAGAGAACCTTATCAATTTTTGCATTTTTAGGATGTGAAAGGTACATTCATATTAACATTTTTCATATTTTATTATAGAATTATTTTATTATTAATATTATCAGTATGATCTCACATTAGGTGCTACCATAGCACCTAATATGAGATAATATAAAAAATGATATTTTATACACATGACTTATCATTAGTAATTCCATTCTCCTATTTTTTACTTACTTTTGACAGTGTTGGAAAAAGCCAATTGTACTTTATATTTCATGAATATATTTTAATTAATAGATCAATAGAAATGGTATAAAATTACTTGGAGTAAAATAGCATACAGCATACAGTTGAGATTTATTTTCCTCATCCAATAAAGTGATTAGAATTGAGGAGGCCAGGGGGGGTCTTGAGCCTTCCATAAGAGTAAAGGGACTGCCCCCCCTCCCCCCACCTCACAAAATAGAAAGACTTTTTACTTGAGATGCACTTTTCTAGAGAAAACTGTGCTTTTTTCTTGAAGAAATGTCAATTTTCAGACAAAATGAATGTCTTTACACAATCTTCTTTTCTATGTTTTCATTGTGTTCAACATATTCAAGATAAGCTGTCGAGTTGTCCAGTCCAACAGAAACGTTTTATTTCCAGTCAAATTGACCATTATGCACAAGTTATTCATTTTAAGGGATATTTATAAGGAGATTAGATATAAGATAAGATAAGGAAGGTGAGAATCAAATAAAAATAAGTGGGTTTCCAAACAACCGTGCGAGACCTGGTAGACCACCAAATCTGTCCCCATCAGATAAGCAGTACTTAAAGCTTTTATCTATGAGAGAGAGGAGAAATCAAGCTCCACTCTTACTTCAGATCTGAAAACATCCACAGGTGTTTCTGTCCATCCTTCCACTGTGAGAAAACAACTCAACACTATGAGTCTGAAAGGATGTGTAGCTGACAAGAAACCCTTACTGAGAAAAGAAATAGACGAAAGAAAAATTGCAAATGAAGCATAGAAGCTGCTGATGTTCTCAGACCAAAGGACTGACCACATCAGAGATCAAACCTCAACATCACTGAATGTGGATTTGGGATTACACAGATTGTAAGAAGTAGAAAGTGCAACCAACTGCTAAGACTGAACTTTAGAGGTGTGGAAAAATACTCCTGCAGGTTTCTTTAAAAAACTAAAAGCAAGACTCCTGAAAAGAACAGAAGCTGTAATAAAGGTAAAGAGTGAACACACTAGATACCGAAACATTTTATAATTTTTTATAATTATTTATTTGTTTTCTGCTTTTTTCTTTACACAGAATGACTTGTGCTAATGGCCATTTTGACTGGTAATTGGATAAATGAAGGGTGTATTCTGACCTTTGCACAGCACTCAACATTTAATACATAACTACAGACCTCTAGAGCATCTCTACACTATCAAAATGGTTCTTTAGAGCGATGACATAAAAGAACCTTTAAAGAACCATTTTTGTAAATAAAATGAGTCAGTATGAGAAATATTTTTAACATTTAAAGAATCTCCTCATCATTTAAACATTCTGTACCAATTACAGGGTTTTCTTAGAACCGTGGGTCCGAGCCAAGAACCTTTTAGGAACCTTTATGTTTAGGAGTGCATGTGTTCTCTTTGGATACAAGGTTAGAATCCACCTCCCACTAAAACCTGCAATAGAAGAGGATGTGGCTGTGTGTTTATCTCTTCTTGCCTTTTTTCACTAAAGAGGCAGCAGCCTTTGGCAGCACTACAGACGGCTCCTCAGCCTCAAAGCCAAGAGACGGACTCGGAGTCCCAGAGTAGCGAAGAAGAGACGCTCAGCCAGCCGCATGGAGATTTGACTTTGAACGTGCCCGGCTCAAGTTCATGTTGTCAGCTGGAGGAGATGATGGGGAATGAGCCGATTTTGGCAGTGAGTGAGCTGTTTTTCTCTCTGTCTTTCTCTGTGAAATCTCACTCACAGGCGAATTTCCACTATTTTTTCAAACTTTCTCTGTAGTTAAATGGTTAAAATATAAACAAAGTCGCTCAGAGTGGTTTGATGTGAGATGCTCTGTTCTAGAGAAGACGTAATTGTTCACAGTGGTGGTGACAGGAACCAGATGTCTGGAGAGTTGAATGCTCCCTTTATCAAAAGTTATCACATGAAATGACTACAAACATGATGACTGATGCCTGAGACATTGTTTTACGATAGTTTTAAGATCAGGTTTTGGCCTGAAACTAGTTCAGATGCATTCATGGTGGAGAGGTACATGCAAGGTGCTGTAAGGCAAAGTAGCCCTCAAAGAAAACCTATGCATTCAGATTTAACTGTTTTATCTTTGCCATTACGTGTAAAAAGTCAGAAGACTCACATAGGCTTACTAGTGATTTTGGAAAGTGAATAAAATGGCTGTATTTTCATCGTGGGCATCATGACTCCTGGTTCCTATCACCACCACTGTAAAGAAATCCAAACTGGTTAGTTTCTCTACAATGAACCATTTCACACAAAACCACTCTGAATGACTTTGTTTTACATTTAAATGATTTAATTATGCAAACATTTACAAAAATCAGAGGAATTCCTCTTTTACTTTATTAGTTCATGTCCCTGGTCATATTAAGTATTAAATACAGTTCATCATTCATATTATTTGAAAGACAAAATTCTTGTTTTCACTTAATTTGCGATAGCAATTGAAATGTAATGACTTTTGCCTGCCTTGAATACTGTCTGATTTTTCATTACGTGCACCAGTAGGTAAGGAAAACAATATTAACCCACCATCACCCTCAATCATCCAGCAAAACACTCTGCTAGCCCAGAGACCCGCCCTGAAATTGTGTTTTGCTCAGAAATATGTCACAGTACAGGAAGGGAGATGCGTTCTGGTTTCTCATTTATGATGACTTTAAAGTGATCATTCAGCCTGGTATCAAATTTACACAGTTTACCCTTTACTCTAAAGGCTTAATCAGCCAAGACATGTTTAAAGTCTGTTTGCTTGTTTAGTTTTGTGCTGGAGCTATCAGGCAAATGTAGCTAAGTTATACAAGCTTTTAATAATCAATTAGCAGTGCACAGAGTGCATTTCTAAATCACCACAAATCAGGTACAGCTACAGTGCAGGACTGAAAAATTAGAGGAGACCACAACCTAACTCATTTGTTTTTTTGAGCAAGATAGTATTATTTTTATATGATTGCTACGAATAAAAAATGTAAACTCTATTTTGAGCATCTACTGTTTGTAATTGGTTGATTCCACTGTCACTGGTTAATCTGACACATTAGGCCTTCAGTTCAGCTCCTGAAGTCCCCACCAATTGGAGCACTTGCTTGGCTGTATCAACTTACATTCCACGGAGAAAAAAAATTGATAATGTTTCAAGATTTTACACCTTTGTTTCCAACTTAAACTTAACAATGTAGTCACACTTTATTTGGATGGCCCGTTATAGATGATCTACAGACACTTACATCATTAACAAACTTTCTGGTGATGTTCAGTTGATCAACAACAATATTACGGTTAGGGTTAGGGTTAAGTTGCATTTCATAGATATTTAGTTGAATGTTATTTAAAGATATACTGAGCATCTAAAAAGCATCTACAATGGACCATCCAAATAAAGTGTTACCTAATAATGTTATCTGAGAATTACTGCAGTACTGCAGTTATAATAATGAAATTAAAATCACAGACATGTATTGTTCAATTTCACAAAAAGCATCAGGCCTTCTCTGGAGCTAATTAAGTCCAGCCCTGAGGGTTCCCCACTGGATTTTACAGAATCTATTACATTCAACTTAACATCCATTTGCATTTAATAGATATTTAGTAGAACATAATGGGGCGGTGGGGGGTTGGGGTTGGGGGGTGGTCCACAAAGGGGGACTTAAACTGAAAAAGTTAGAAAACCTCTGCCTTAGCATACATTAAAAAACATAATTCTTGTTTTCCTGTAATGTTTGATCAAAGTGTATTGACTTCAGCTGATCGTCTGTATTTTGTCACTGTGTACCAGCAAGTGGGCAAAATACAATAATAATAAAAATAAGATTAATCAGTAACAAGCAAATGTTATGTTAAATGAGCGAAATAGTCGGGTAGTTTAGAGATCCTTTCTTATATATCCTTCCCTTGTGTTTCACTCAGAAATATGTTGCAGTACAGAAGGAAGGCGTTATGATTTCCCATTCACGCTGACTCACTCTTCTCTCTCTCTCTCTCTCTCTCTCTCTCTCTCTCTCCCTCTCTCTCTCTGTGAATCACAATAAAAGAACTCCACCTTCTCTTTAGAGGATAAGCAATAAGCCCTCCAGGCTTCAGTTCTTTAACTCACCACTGAAGAATGTAGGCACACCTAGTAAAAAACGCATCAGCTCCAACACACAACATGGAGAGCACATAAAAAATCTGATTTACACTGAATGTAATTCCACATGTCTGCTGTACCTCAGTTGTTTGTTAGTGTTATTGACGACATGGTCTCTTAACACTGCAGAGTTCTGACCTGAGTGATGCTGAGGAATCAGAAGGCTCAGAGCTCCAGTACTCATCCTCTGATCAGGAAGAAGAAGAAGAAGACATGGGGACAGAGTCTGCTGAAAAACTGGCTGTATCGGAACCAGACGCTGTATGTAGGATGGTGCCAAAAGCCATTATTCATTCGCTAGATCACTGACCTTATGGTATGGTAATAGTTGCCTCTTAATTGGGTGCCATTTGACTTTAATGTTTTCAGGCCATGGTCGAGCAAAACAGGAAATGAAGTCAGACTCATTTAGTCACAAGTCAGCAAATTATTTTATTTTTCCACTGGAACTGAAAAGCCTTTCTTCAATCTTAGAGAGCTTTCCTAAGACTAATACTGCCATCTGCCTGTGAACAACAGGTAATGCATGGACTTTTAAGGACAAAGTGTACATTTGAGTCAGTGATATATTGTAGCAGTGTTGTTTGTTGAGGGTTTTGTTACAGCATCAAACACTATTGATGAAGAGGTGACTTACAAAAGTCATTGGTATTTTAAATTATTGTATGCTTTAAAAAAGTATTGCAGCAGGTTTGTTCATGGTATTATGAGAAAGACAACAGCTGAATAGAAATATATATACAGGGTGATTAAAAAATATTAATCCGATTTCAAAGCGCCATATTTTACAACCGTGAGACGCCTAGGAACCAATCACATACCAATTGAAAGAGGGGGGTCACTGGAGGTCACTGTGTGTATACACTAGCCATCAAAAATTTGAGGACACTTGCTTTCTTTGCGAACATTCAATTTTTGCTATTACTTTTCCATTAAGTAAGAAACAATACTATCAAAGGTATTTGCCAATAACTGTTTGCGCTTCACTCAGCTTCAAAGTAACTTCCTTGCCATGAACAGCAGCTTTAGCCTAAATATAGATACAACAGTTTTCTTTTCCAAACTGCTGTTAAAAGCACATATTGGAGATCTTTTGGCCTAAAGGTGGTTTAAACATTTGAAAATGTGTTATTATTTTCAGGATAGTACTGTCACAAATATTTACATGTGCAATATTGTTTTCCAACAATCTGATAATAATATACACTGTACACTCCAGAGCAAACAGATGCGGTACATTTCAGGGTTCCTCTTTCAATTAAGACATTTTTTCCACTTTGTCTCCTTGGCAGGATGCAGTGGAGAGTGAGGAGGAGCGTCGGAGGCAGTGGGAGGAGGGCCGAGCAGATTATCTGGGCAAAGACGCCTTTAAAAACATCCAGAAAAGACTTGACCAGTTCCTAAATTAGGCAATACGTCCAACAAATTCTCATTTACATCTGTCTGCTTTCATTTCATTACAACAACCTTTTTCTAAATAACTGCTTCAATACAGTCGCTCTTGAAAAAAAATAACAGGCTGTTTAAACTGAAAGTCTAATAGTCAACTATACTCAACTTATTGATATGCAACTTTTATTACTGATCCGTATCATCACTGTTGAAACAAAACCTTGTATTGCCAAAAGGGTAACTTTGTAAAAGTAGGGAAAATGTTCTGAACCTTTAATGCAAGATTTTGTTTCAGTTCATTTTGGACCATTTCTTTTAGTCCATTTGTGACAAAGTGTTGACATAATGTAAGTAATGGGTGTTAAACATTTTCTAATGATCAAGGTTTTGTTTGGACAGTGAAGATATCTTTCTTGTACACATGACGTATTTGACAGTATGTATTATTTTCTATTTAATTAGCTATTCTTGAAATATAATCACACTGTATGTGAGAATCATTTTGTACTTTCTGTAAGATTGCAATAACATTGTGCTTTTTTTGCTGTTTCTTCTAGAGCTCAGTTAGAGCCACTGATCATTCTGATCTTAAGATTCTCATATTATCACATGACTGTGCAACTGTACACCAATCCAGTTCATGTATGTATTACGAGATTCTTATTAAAAGAATGTTTTACACTATTATATATAATATATACTTACTCTTACATAAAGATTTTTGATTGATTTATGTATGATGCCTTGGCACTGCTAGGAGTTTACCTTTATCTGTCACCAGGGGGCACTCTCTCAGTTATGTGCACATTTTTTAAGACGGTGTACTTGAATAGAGTCCAGTCAGTTTGTTCACCCATGAATGAATATAGAGTGAGATCACATAACATCATGTCTTCTTGCTTTTGTTCTTTTATACTTTAACACCTCTTTCTCCATAAAATGTGAACTAAACCCCAACAAACAATATATTCATGAAATCCTTGATGAAGGGTATAAATTATTAACACTGTCATTTGGATGAGAAGCAAGTGTACATTAAGTTTGCTTATGAACATTTGGGGGCCTCAAGCAATGTCTTATTTAGGGGGGTGGCTGCTCACCCCAATAGAGACTTCATTCATTTTGATCAGGAGATTATATCTAAGATATAAACAAAATTAATAAATGATACATGCATTGCTTCCACCACTTATAGCAAGAAACAGCTCTGGTGTACATGCAGTATACTAAAATCACCTTTATGGTTTGCGTTTGGTAATTTAGGGCAACAACATTTGGGATGGCTTTATGGTCACAGACTTCACTAAAATTCAGTTTTTTATATTTCATAATTTAATTTTAGTGTATATTTTACACTTAAAATGAATGTAATCCTTTTATGGTCCAGATATTAAAGGGGAATTCCACTGATTTTTTTTCCACTTTCTGCATAATTTCGTGGTCAAGTTGGAAACTTGGAAGTCATTCAGAGTGGTTTGATGTGAAATATCTCATTGTGGAGAAATGTTCTCACATTGCTTTTCATAGTGGTGGTGTTAGGAACCAGGAGTCGCAATGTATACAACACATACAGCCATTTTATTTATTTTTCAGGGAACCCACACGTGTCTCTATGTGTCCTGTTGAAAATGGTGAAAAAGTTGTCTTTGGGTACTATATTACCTTATTACACTCTGCATGTACCTGTGCTCCAAAAAATGGATTTTAAAAAATGTATTTCTGACCAAAATCTTATCGAAACTATTGGAAACAACATCTCAGGCATCAGGCAGCTAATTTGTAACCATTTGATGTAAGAACTTTCTCTGAAGGAGCTTTTAGAAGCAATAAACTCTGCAGACATCTGTTTCCTTTCCCTACCACTGCGAACAATTCTGACTCGGTTTTTCTAGAATGGAACATTTCACATAAAAGCACTCTAAATGACTTTGTTTATGTCGTATCCACAGAATTATGCAGAGATTTCGAAGAAATCAGTGGGATTCCCCCTTACACATTAATCTTTGTTAATGTGGTCATATCAGAAATATATCTGGACAGACACTGGTGTGTTAGTGTGTGTTGCACTGGTACGAGTGGATCAGACACAGCAGTGCTGCTGGAGTTTTTAAACACTGTGTCCACTCACTGTCCACTCTATTAGACCCTCCTACCTTGTCAGTCCACCTTGTAGATGTAAAGTCAGAGACGATAGCTCATCTGCTGCTGCACAGTTTGTGTTGGTCATCCTCTAGTCCTTCATCAGTGGTCACAGGACGCTGCCCACAGGACACTGTTGGCTGGACATTTTTGGTTGGTGGACTATTCTCAGTGCAGCAGTGACATTGAGGTGTTTAAAAATACACCACAAAACAGTCTAACACACCACCACCACCACATCAGTGACACTCCAGCACTAGGAATGATCCATCATCTAAATGATACCTGCTCTGTGGTGGTCCTATAGAGGACCTGTCCATTGAACTTTGAAGAACAAAGTAAAGATGGGCTAATAAAGTATGCAGAGAAACAGATGGACTACAGTCTGTAATTGTAGAACTACAAAGTGCACCTATATAGTAAGTGGAGCTGATAAAATGGACAAAGAAACAAGGGGATGCACTTTATGAAGAAAGTATTCTTTTTAGTCATTATCTTTTAGATACTAATTCCTTTTATTTAGTTTAGTCTCATTATGTTGTTGGTGGCAGTGCCAATATTGCAATATTGGTCACACCTCTTACTTTTGAGCTTTATCATTTGTTTTAGTCAAAAGGATCTCAAAAAAAGAAGGCCAGCACCTAAAAAAGAAAAACTGTTACTTCACAAAAGTAACAGTACATCTGGAGTGTGAGTTTAGGCCACCCTCTCCATTTCTGAACAAACCTATTGGCTACATTTACTGCTTGCAGTAAGGTTGTTTGTGGGCGATGGCTCTCATAACCACATCTCTATCTTCTAAAGTTTACTACACACTTATCTCCATGCAGAGGAAAGTTATCCCTGACCTCTAAATGGCAAACAACCTGTGAGGCCTCACAGACTTTTACAACAGACGCAACCTACAAACATCCTGCTTCACTTCGCAGACAGAGCCATAATCAAACACTCTATAAAACACATAGTTCCTGTTCTACAATCTGATTGTAAAGATGTATATGGATCACTCTATCGCATTGTTTCAAAGCCAGAGTTGAAAACATATTTCACACTATTAACTGACTATTGACACTACTGACACAATATTGACCCTATACCTTAATTTTGTTTATTTTTTTAAAACAAATGATTGAATATTCCATTTTGTCACTATTATCACAATCATAACACTACTGAAACCTTACCCAGTGGCATCCACACCATTTTATTTGCATTTACAAACTGACTAGACGTTGATCATTTTGAACCTCTGTAGACCTGAGAACAATAGCACCAAAAAAGTCATAAGAAAAATAAGAACTGGCTAAAACTGGGCTGATTTACATCTAGCCTGAGCTGTAGATTCACACAGCCAATCTGTGAGTATGTTTATGTGTGCTAAGTAATCTAATAAGTGCAGAAAATTTGATTTTGTAAGTAATTAATTCAACATGATTACATGCACTTAGGCAATCAGATAATGTGCAAAACTCTGGGTCTAAAGGAGTCAGGCAATACAAAGATTTCTACTTTGCAAACAGCCAATAAACAGAATAAAACATGACATAAACAAAAAGTGAAATGCATCATCATGCTATGGATTTTTTTTTTATTTAGCAGAAAATAAGAATATACATTATCTAGAATATTTAAATCCTTCATTTCATCAAGCATGTAGTTGGTTTCGGCATTACTCCAAAATTTTTAGTTGCCATCATGCGGGTGCTGTGTTAAATGCTGGCTTGCTCTCTCCGGGACAGGGATCTGTTTTTGCATATGTGCAAACTGAGAAAACTGAAAGAAATCAGAGTAAGGGTATACATGAGCTGAAAACCTGATTACTGGACTAAAATCAGCTCCAGATTTCTAGGCCTTGATCCAGTCTAAGAAATCAAAGTAAGGTGTTTACATGTCCACTTGACTTATCCGAACATTGCTGAAGTCTGATAATGATCGGATTATAAAGTGCATGTACGTGCATTCTGTGATTCTGCATAAAGTACGTTGTGATGTATTACACAGAGTGGTTATCCGTTTGGATGAATATTTGTTGCCTTGCTCCACCCTCCCGCAGTCTGCAGTCAGTAGTCAGATGCAGTCTAATTAAGTAGGCCATTACGGCGATGTGTAATGCAGAATGCTTATGTATTCATTACATTTACATCACTAAAATCATAAACATTTTCATGGCACCTTATGGGATCCACAGTATTTTGTTAGCACCATGCTAACCGGGATTCCAGTTATAACAGCTGTATATGGATATCTGAAGCTGAAAACATGGACATTTAAAGCTTATAACTGTTGGTAACAGACATTCAGGCCATATATATTTTATAATTTGTATAACGTCCTCCAGAAATTATTTAACTTATATCTGGTTGTGTTCTGCTCACATTGAAGTTGATAAAAAGTGCAATGCTGCTGTGAAATGTACTGTGATTGTTCTGTTAGCTTGGTATAGCACTGGGCTAATGATGACCATGGTGCCCCAGTAGCTATTTAAACAACTCATTTCACTGTTTGATTGCTGAAGCTGTGAAGAAGCTCTCAAATGAGATGCTGGGAGCTATTCAAAGCTGATGTTCTCTTCAGCCCATCCAATATTCTCTTTACCATCTAATATTATAACCATCTGTTACTGACATAAACCTTGTTAAAGTTTCAAAACATACTGTTTACTCACCAGTCCATACAGTTCATATACGGAAACTAAGCTGAAAAGCAGCATATTTGAATTCATTGCTTTTGTGATGTCACAAAACAATCACATTTTCAGTGTACAGCAGTTTAGCCACGCCCATTTACACTGAAGTTACAAGACAAGTTTATTTATACAGCATGTTTCATACACAAAGACAATTTAATGTGTTTTATATAAATACAAACAAAAAGGAATGTCATAAAGAATAATAAAGACAAAGTGCTCAAGATTGAAAATCAATAAAAATAATAAAAATGAAGTGACTGTAACTTAAAAAACAATGAAACAGATAATTAAAAGAAAGTACAAAGTACATAAAAGCAAAAAAGGATAATTCAATAAAAAGGAAAGTAAAGATCAAAGGCAAATATATCAGATCAGACTGCTTACAACAAGACAGAGTAATCAATCAGACGAGAGGTCATTTACATTTTAAAAGTCCTATATTGGTATCAAAGAAACGTTTGGAGACAAATGCATGCATATGCTAGTCTGAACTGATGAGCTTTTAATCTGGATTAACACCTTTCCTATGTAGATCAATTCCTGTGAATAATTAACCCACTTTTTTTTTTCACTCACATAAACATCAACAACTTGGATTAGAAAATAGCAAGAAACATTGCCTTTTATTCTGTCTTCTGTGGTGATAAACTGGAAGTGAGCATTTTTAGATGATGCCTTGCTTTCTGTGAAGGCAACAAACTGAGTATTTGTCCATCCTGTAAATATTTAGGCTGAATCATGAAGATTATTCAACAGTTCCACCAAACCAAATTCCTCCCACTTCGTGTAACACACTTGTGTCTTAATTTGTGTGTTACACAAGTTTCCAGTTCATGGTTAAACCATAAGAAAACAT